TGTCGAAGATAATCGACAATAGTATCGAATTATCGGATAAAGTGATGATTTATAGCTCAATGTTAGGCAAAAAGAGTTCATTAAAAGAACTCAAGACTAAAATCAAGAGTTACGTCGAGAATGGAGTTATTCATAGCTTCGTTACCACAGAGTTTTGTCAGGGAATGACTAAAAGGTGGGGATTGGCGTGGACTCTGATCCCTGGCCTCGACCTCCGAGAGGTTCCCACCATTAAAGCCGCGAAACCGAAGCCTCCGATTGTCTATTACATACCGCCGCTCATGAAGTCTTGTGAGTATAAGATTGAATCCGTGGCGCGAAGAATACAAGAACTACTTCACGATGACTTGAAATTGGATTCGTTTGAAATGATTGATAAGAAGAAAAAGATTGAATTCCGGATCCGATCGCAGACTAACGTCTGGAGCGGTCAGAGGAAGAGGAGGCGAGAAATGAAACGCAAACTCGAAGACCAATCAATGGGTAGCGACAAGTCAGACATGAGTGGCAGCGATGGTCACAACGGTATGAATATATCGGCCGAAAGCCACGACATATCGACTGATCAGACGGTGAACCGAAAGAGAGGTTCAGATGATATGGACTGCGAGGCCAATGGCCAGCAGTTGAGTAGCGATGCCGTCGATTGTCAGTCAAAGAGGAATAAGACGTCCAAAGAGTTATGGGAACAGGAGTTGTATTTGTTGGACACCAGTCTTGTGGTCAAACGAGACAAACAGTCGATTGTCATCGAAATGCAGACCAAAGAGTTGGCGAAGAGTAGCGAATCCACTCATCAGTTGTTTCAATACTTCAAAAACAATTTGAATTAACTTTTGAATTAAGGTTTTCATAACATTTCATACATTGAGATATCATTGAGTTTTTTGTTGACCAATAAAAGAATCTATTTATTCGAACTGACAGTTAATAAAATGACAATTACCTTGCTAATTATTTAAATACAAATCGAGAGCTAATTCAATTGTTAATTAGTTTTGCAAATTTGCAGTCCTTTTGAATAGTGGTTCAGAGAAAATGTCTCGTAATTCATGAATGACTCCAAAAATCAGTTGTTTTTATGTAAACAAAACACATTTGAAAACAACATTTGATTCAAAAACTTATTTCTTAAACACAAAACTCATTGATCACTTGCCACGGATCAGCTACTGGTGACAACGCGCGCGCGCCATGTCTGCAGCGGACGATAGCCTCCAGACGTCGTCGATGGCAACGGACGACAAGGAGAACAACCTCTCTTTGAACACACGCTTCAGTGACATCTTGTTCACGGACTCGGAGTTCGCGGCCATCGAGTTCTCGATGGGTCCGTGCGTTCAGCGTAAGGGTGTCCGCAAACTCGTGGAGGACGGCGGCGGTCATATGGTGTCCAACACCGACCCATACGACGATAGTGTCGTCCATTTGGTGACCATTGACCACACGCTCAAAGACGTGCACCGGATGGCGGACCGGAAGTACTATTACGTGACGTTTGTGTACGAGTCGTGTCGTGCGAACCAATTGCTTGACTTAAGCGACTATAGAGTGGTTCCGGTGTCGACGCCAATGAAGAAGACGACGACCACTACGATAGAGAAGAGCGACGATTTTGACGATGAGGAGGAAGAGGTGGCCAAAGACGTGGCGACGGATACCATGGATACGATAGCGGATTCATTTGACCCTCAGTTGGAAGTGATGAGCGGTGATGACGAGCGACAGGAAACCCGCGAACCAACTGATAGAGATACAGATCTGAAGATATTGGAGTTCATTATCAATCGCAAGGCGTTCGCCGATATCAACGGCAAGAGTCTGTGGCGGAAGGCGTGTGATTGGGGCGTCTGTTTTGGCACCGACGCCGACTCAACCAAAGACCGTTTCTTCTCTCATATTATGCCGAATATTGAAGAGTTCGCCGAAGAGATCGGTGTCAGAGATAAACACTCTTTCCTTAAATACTATGAGTTTTATAACGAGAATGAAGTGAAGAGTAAACCAAATGAGAGCACAGGAGTGGATGACTCGCGTGTGTCGGACGCGAGTTCTCGACGCCACCAGACGTCAGTCCTCGACGACTCCGATGAAGACATCACCGAAAAGGAGGAAATACCCGAAACTCCACTAATTAGTGATAATACCGATGAAGAGGTGGTGAATGAAGAGATCAACGACAAGAATGTGTCTAAAAGTAGTGCCCAATCGAGTGATACAAACATAAATAAACCACAAAATAGTGCGAAAACTATTGATAAGAGAAAACCTGTGGAGGAAGAGGTTACGGATGAAAGCGATTTGGATTTCGACGATAAAGACGGGGATTCGGAGGGGAGATCCAAATATTTCTCGCAAATCCAGTTGAAGCCAAAGGTCCAGAAGCCGGAGAACTCATATTTCAGCGGATATTTGGATTATATTAAGCAAAGGGAGCGGACGTCCACTCCCGAGAATCTCCAGCGAATAAAACAGGCACTAAAAGTGTCGAAGAATGACACCACTAGTGATCGACAGTCACAACAACAACAACAACAACCTCTTCGCCGCAAAAGTGGTGCAAAACAGGCGACACAACCGCAGCAGAAGAATGCCCTGACATTTGGCGAAAAGATTTTGCAGCAAACGATTGCCGAACGAAAGGCCGGAAAGGGGGCGCAGGAGACGGGCTATAAAGTGTCGGACATCTCATCAAACGATGAGAGCTCTGGCGACGACACGACGGGAACACCGACAGCGAGGAAGAAGAAGAAAATGATGCTCAAGAAGAAGGCGCGAACCCCTGAGCACTTGCTGTCGATGGGAATGAAGCAAAAGATGTATTCATTGACCGAAGACGAGGCCATCATTGAGTTCGTGCTGAACAGTCAGCGCTTGGATGACTTGAAAGGGAACAGTCTGTGGGAAGAGGCGGAACAGAAGGACATCTGTAACGGGCGGTCGTGGCAGTCGATGAAAGAGCGCTTCCGGAAGTATATTATGCCTGACATTGACGGCTACGACATCGTCGATAAAAAGAGGACTCAACGGCTTAAAAAGTATTTTTACGCCGAAAAGGACGGCTCGACGTCCAGACAAGTGGGCGGTTACACAGACGATGAGGACAAGAATATTCTCAATTATATAATCAAGAAAAAGGGCTACGAGTTAGTGAAGGGCAACCAGATCTGGAGGGAAATGGAGAACGAGTTCCGGAATCAACTGCCGAAGAGGACGTGGCAGTCGTTGAAGGAAAGGTATCAGAAAAGGATAATCAAGAGTCTGAGTAAATATGGCGTCCATTATGCGATCGCACGGCAAATGTTGGGCGCCATTAGCAGTCTATCCGATACGGAACGCATGACGATTGCGAAGAAGTGCCAGAAAAGTGTCGCCGTTTCGCCCGAACCCCCGGCTGACCCACCCGTCCCTAAGAATGTAATCAAAGGAAAGACAGCGAAAGAGTGCCCCAAAAAAGACGCCATTTCTGTTGAACCCATAGCTGTCTCACCCGTTACTAAGAATGCGACCAAAAGAAAGGTTACGAAGAAGTTATCTAAAAGTGCTGCCGTTTCGCCCGAACCCCCGGCTGTTTCACCCGTTGCTAAGAATGCGACCAAAAGAAAGGTTGCAAAGGAATGCCCCAAAAGTGCGGCCGTTTCTGTTGAACCCATGGATGTCTCCCCCGTTGCTAAGAGTGTGACTAAAAGAAAGGTCGCCAAAGAGTGCCATAAAAGTACTGCCGTTTCCGTCGAATCCACGGCTGACCCACCCGTGGATAACGCTGTGACCAGAAGGAGATCGAAAAGAAGTCGTCGTTAAAAATCATGTTTTACTGTATATAACGTGACATATAATATCAATAAACTTTTTATACACTTTTAACTTTTGGTATATATTTGTGATCTGATTATCTGTATGTGCGGCGAATGTCTAGATTTGTTTGCTTTCAGTGCACTGACAGGTCGGGTACTGACAGCACGGCTGCAGCCACGGCCTCCATATGGTGTTCGTGAATGTGAACTGAGAGGGAACCGACACCACAGACCGCTTGTGCTCATCGACTGCTTTCGCAATCTTATCTACAATTTGCTGATACTTTAGATCAGATGCGATATCAATGGGAAGATTTTCTTCCGGGTCTCTGACGATGTCGTAGAGGAGGGGAGGGTCGTAGTGAACGACGTGCCCCTCGAAGCACATACACATGAATTGGCACTTGTATTCACCGCCCGGTTTGTACTTTGGTTTATAGAAATACAGTTTCCAGACGTTGTCCGCGTCCTCTACATAGCGAACGCCGTGTAAATAAGTGCCGCAATAGTGGTATAGGAACTGATGGGGACTGGGAGTTGACTTTGGCTTCAAAAGTAACGGCAAAATACTTTTGCCGTCAATTATGCGATCCTTTGGCGGACCTATTCTCAGAATGTCGTGAATTGTCGAGAAGATATCCATTTGACTCGTGGGCACTGAGATCACCGATTGGGCCGGTATTCTGTTGGGCCACATGACAGCTGTGGGCACTCGGATGCCGCCCTCCATAGCCCCGTGACCTTTGCCTCCTGTGTGTGCAATAAATTAATCGACAAATTGCTGATAATTTAGTAATCAATTCATACCTTTATAGATACCATTAGAACCGCCCTCTGCTATGCCGTCGGCGCCCACTTCCTCGAGGTGTCCGCCATTATCACTACTGAAGTACACGAATGTATTGTCTTTGAGGTTATTATCGCTCAAAAAGTCCAGGACTTTTCCGATTCCGTAATCCATTTCCAGGACACAGTCGCCATACTTTCCAATACCACTCTTGCCTTTGAATTGTTTGTTTGGAAAGTGGGCTAAAAAGTGGTCAACAAATGGTTAAACAATACGATTAAGACATCAATAGATAAGTGAATCAATTGATACCGGAATGGACTTTAATAAAGTTGAGAACCAATAGGAAAGGCTTGTTTTGTGCGGTCTGGCTATCTATGAAACCCTTGGCCTCATTGACCAGTCTATCAGTGATGCCCTCTAACTGGACGGGCTGTTCAATCACTTGCGTACCCCTCATGAGCACAGAATTCATTAATTTAATGCTTTGCTGGAAGACTATCGCAGACAGTGGTAGCGCACAGAACAAGAAGAATGTGAGATACGATAGTTTGTGGTATTTCTTAGTGAATGTGATGATCACAAGCGATAGACCTATTGTGGCGAATGTGGTCAAGTAGGACATGAAGTTCGGAAAGTAGGACTTGACGACAGACTCGCCATCGTTGCCGAAGTCCTTCAAATTAGTCAGAGGAATGCCGTAGAAGTAGTCGAATCCGTGGCTCAGCGGGTGATGGCAAGCGTCGCCCTTCACTTGGCAGTCGTTCCCCAAATGCCATTTCCCGATGAGAGCCGTTCCGTAATTATGCGCGCGAAGTGTTTTGGCAAACGTAGTCTCATTGGATGGCAGACCTCCCGCCGCCGCCACGAATAGGAACACCCGATTGCGAGCGGCCGAAGCCATGCCTTATATCATCAAAACAAACTTGTGATCAACTCATTTGCCACTCATATATCAATGACATACCGGTGCGCACCGGGTATCGGCCGGTGAGGAACGCGCTGCGACTGGGGGTACAGACAGAGGCGGCCGCCAAGTGATGGGTCAGGAGAGCGCCTTCACTGGCGATGCGGTCGATGTTTGGCGTGAGAAGCGATGTATTGCCGAAAGCGCTGACGTCTCCGATGCCTAAGTCGTCGGCAATGAGTACAACGAAATTGGGTTTCGACTCCGCTTTGGTCTCGCAGTCACTGAAACCCGCATTCAATACCAAAAACAACACCAAAACCTTTTGCGGCGAGAAATAAATGATTTATTGTTTTCGACTTAAATAACACTAAAAAACTGATTCAACGCTTAAATACATAAATAGTTTTCACGTAAAACATAGACTCATATGAAGTGAAAAACTTTTGTAACAAAACTATTGGACTAAACAATCAGACAATTCAGTAGTTCTTCAGGGGTTTAATGGTCTCCAAGTATTTCATGTGTTTCTCCATAATATCGATCGTCGTATCGGCTTCTGGTCTCTGAATCTTGTCGTCAAACTCGTAGCCAACGGTCCACAGAGTCTCGATGTCGTAGTACTCACGCGTCTTCGCCAGAAACACATGCAATACAATGTTCTTCATGTCTACCACTTTCCAGTCGATGGCGTCATTGCCGCCGATGTCGAGGAAGGGATCCTTTCGGTGTTTCTTCATTTTGTAGACTTTGTTGAAGTACTCCATAAACGCCTGCGAAAAGAGTGGTAACTATTGAGACTCAACACTGGAGACAATCGGTAGCAACAAAAGGCATACATTTATCTGGCGCTGGGATTTGGCGGTGACTAAGACCAGGTGCTGACAGTAATTGAGTTCTTCGGGCACTTCTATGACAGCGATGTCTCTGAGGTTTTCCGATCGCAACAAATCAACCAATTGGTGGATATCGAAGACCCCATTCACACCCCTCTCGGTGTCCATCGCTTCCAACTTCGCCTCAAAGTTCTTAGGCTTTTGTTGATACAAATAGATCTCTTCGTCCAGTTCTTCGGACACATCGTATATCACTTGCGAGTCGTCGTCTGAATACTTCCTAAACTTGCTTTCCGTTGATCTCTTCAACTCTCGGGACACCGACTCGTCCTCCTCTTCAGTCGCCGGCTGTTTGCTGTCGTCGGAAGCGCTGTTGTCATCGGTTTGCGACGACTTTTGGGTGACATTTGACATAAACCTCTGACTCTGAGAGCACTTCATATACTTATGATAACTAAATGACTGATTGTTTGGCCGTAAATGAGCGCTAATTATGGGACTATTAATGGGTTTGTCTTTCACTGCAAACCTATGGCTATTGCATTGAAAACGCAAACTATTATTACATTTACTTACGATTAACGCCTTATTTCGCATACATCTCGACACAAACGACATGTTTATTGTCACCGAAAGCTATTAATTGTAGTTATGATTAGTGTTTATGATATTTAATACAATCTAATCGTTTGAATACATGGTTTGTTTGATACAAAAGTTTTATTTGTTTATGATTTTTATGAGGCATTGAATGCGTGATTGCATTGAGAAGTGCAGTGAAAAGCGCCACTCATTAGGGGTTTTGAAAGTGTTTCTCAAATCCAAAGCAAACTTTTAAATAACTTTGGATACAAAATGTAATTTACAATTAATTTTAAGTTTATGTTTAATTTAATTATTTTTATGTGAAAATTATTATAAATAAATATTTTAGGAATACTGTATATTGAATTATATTATAAAATAGGTTTAGTAGTGAAAATACAATGCAATAGATTGAGAGTGGATTTCATTGCACGAAGAATTTGGATATTTTTGACAGGATATTAGAAATTAATTATTAGTTGATCACAAATATTAATTTATTTTTCCAAATTATCCTTATATTTGCTTTTATTTAAACAAATGAATGAATGAGACAAATTGAAACAAATTGTAAATGTAATTTTAAAATTATAACTTTTAAACTGAATTTTAAATTTTATTTTAATGAATGCATTCTTAATATATAGGATTGACTTTTCCTTTTTTATATGACTTCCTGTCGACAGTTAAAGCAATTGTCGGTAAAAACTATTATAATAACCCAAATAAAGCACAATTGAGTTATAGTTTACAGAAAATATTTATTAAAAAGCAATTTTAATGCAAATAAATTACAAACAAAACTGATTTACACATGAATTCCGACCGATTCTTAGAGAGCAAACTACAGCCCCATAAAGATGTGCCAAACATTGGTCTCTCTGTCTATCTATTGGGACGCCTATTGCAACACAAAGACAAACAATTGATCGTAAGTCTGGAAACAAATATCTAAACTGTCATTAAGTGATTGGTTGACTGATAGGTAGACTGTCCGACGGGATGTCTATGGACTGGCAAAGAGATACACGACGTGTGTCTAAGTTTGTCGGACGCCTTCATCAATAAGTTTGATCTGAACGCTGGGGACACCGTCTGCTTCTGGTGTCCCAATAGTGACGTTCACGCCATCACCTTCTTAGCCACCATAGCTTCCGGGGCTATATATCTGGCAATTGATCCCAACTATAGCTATAGTAAGAGATAACTTACTTATGAATTATAAAACTCTTGTATTTTCTAATTGATATTCAGATGATGTCTATCGAGTGATTAAATTAAGTTCCGCTAAATTCCTGATCTGTTTGTCGGATAATACGAGTGAAGCGATTCATATGATGAATGATTTGCAGAGTTTGGAAGTGAGTCTTAGGATCAGTTCATACCATAAACACTGAATATTCTTGTTTCCAATGAATTAGCGATTGTTTATAATCGACGGCAACACAGACGCCGACCTCACGGACACAAAGAATTGTCATTTTCTGATGCAATTCATGAGATATAAGTACAAACCGGAAGCAGATTCGCTGACAAAGCCGGTGCCCATACCTGTGCCCGTATCTGCCAATGATTTGTGTGTAATTCACTTCATTAAGAACACCAAAGACGGAATACCGGGTCAATTGATGCCAATAATCCGCACAAACGCTAATCTAATCCATTCCTCTACACTATTACAAGACTCGCAAGTATTGCAGTTAACGAGCGATGACTGTATAGTCGGCCAACACTTCTCCAACTATTTGGGAGTCGTTTTATTTTGTCACTCATTAGTATCCGGGTCTCGGATGGCGTTCACAAACAGTCACTTCAATCGCCAAAAGACTTTACAATATATACAGAAGTATAACATAACCACCGCTTCCGTGGATTTGAACGAAATTCTGTATTTACTTCGAAATGATGTCGAAATCAAGAATAATAGGTTTGGTTAAAGAATATTCTGTGCATAAAAATACACAAATTTTTCTTACAGTAAACTATACTACGATTTCTCATCCCTGATCGACATATTACATACCGGTTCACCACTTCCTCACGCGGACTGTGTCACAGAAGAAGTGTTTCGCAAATTATGTCCAAAACATTTCAGATCAAGTAATTCGTGACTAAAAAACTTAATTAAATGAACCAAAAAAAACTAATAAAATCTATGTTTAAAGTATACGGAAAGCCGGAAACAGGTATCATATCGTGTGTCTGGAAAGGTGTGTCCACTTTCGACACAAACAAATGCATTTCGAGCTACTATTCCGTGGGATACCCCGTCCCTGGCGTACAGATTAAGATCATTCACCCGCAGACAGAAAAGTCGCGATCCGTTCACAAGTTGGGAGAGATTTGTGTGAAAAGCGCACAAATGGTGGATAAGTCGAGGAATGTGTCGATTGTCACCCGAAACGCCTTCACAATCGACGGCTTCTACAAGACAGGAGACGCCGGCTATTATGACACCGACGGCCAGCTGTATGTCGAGTGCAGAGTCAATGAACTCATATATGAGAGCAATAATGCGGTCAACCCTTTGCCTATTGAGTCCATTCTTAGGCAACACTCGGCCGTCAAGGAGGCGGCCGTTATAGGAGTTCCCAACGACACGTACGGACAGGTGTGCTGTGGGTTCGTCGAGTTGGAGCCCAAAGTGGCGGTCAGTGAACAGACATTAATAGAGTTGGTGTCAAATAAGGGAAAGGAGTTGAGGGCTGGTATCAGATTCATAGAGTCGATGCCTAAGACTCTTCGCAATCAAGTGAATCGCATGGCTTTGCGTGTGATTTACGATAACTTTCACACCTATTCTCTCATTGAAATGCTATGACTTATAGACTATTAGCTATAGGTTTACAAAGTTTTTTGGTATTCATTCAGAATTTATAAATTATTTTAATTAAAAACATTCAAAGATTTCAAAAGACATATAGCCTAGATAACAATAAGGTTAACATAGATAAGATAACAAGAATTGTTGTGATAGTAGTCGACAAAAATCATGGAAAAGTGTTAAATACTGGCATTTTTATCATATTTTTATTCATTTTATTTAATTTGTTATTTTTCAATACCTTATCATTAGTTTATTTAAGAAAATATACAGATTGTCTGTATTATGAAAATACTGTATAAACTCAATATATTTTGCTGGTATATGTTTTACATTATATTTTTAATTCATTACTTGTTTAATTTTGTAATTCTTTAAGGATTCTTACGAAAAATTATTTTAAATATTAGTTTAATTAAAAACATTAAGATATAATCATTGTTTTTATGATTTTAATGACCATTGTATCAATAGGTGGTTATTATCGCATTAATTGATACTTGAATAGCGGACACTTGAAAACACTGATGAATTACTGGGAAAACATAATATCTGATGTTAGAAATCAAGTTGAGGTTTATATATAGGCTAAACATACTTTATACTTTACTCGAAAGCAATGACAAATATTTAAATTTTTAGCCTATATATAAACCTCAATTTGCTTTCTAACATCAGATATGTTATTTTGAAAAGAATAATAAACTAAAAAAATATCATATTTCCAAACTTCATATAAATCTACAGTTGCCAACCGCGCGCATACAGTAACGTATTATAACGTATATAATGAATAAGTTGCCATCAAATGTAGCATGCTAATGAGAAGGAGGGCAACATTACATATGACTTATTTATTGCCATATATGGCTATGTTCTAGAAAGCAAAAATAATGGTCATCAATGTCATAATCACAGTAAACATCTATGAATTTAGATGAAAAATATATTCCCTAATCTAATGACCCTTTCATAACGCATACGGCCAGTGAGTGCCAGAAATGCACATATGTTTGGATTAAAAGGGCTACAATTCGTTGAATATATTCTGTGTATTATTTAGAGATGGTGTCTTATGGTGACAGTAGCTGTATATTAAAAAAGTTATAATATGAATTCTTAAATTCTGTTATACTGTATTTATAAGTGCATTATAAGTGTATTATAACTTATAAGTTATAAGTGTATTAGTTTGCATAAATATATTGTATATGAGTTTTTATAGAGTTTTGCGTATATAAAGTTAAGTAAACTTTTTGAGAGTAAAAAGTTATTGAATTGAAACGAATGGCCGAAAGTATGCCATCGAGTGGCCGATCGTCGACCCCATTGTCCAAAGAGGGGAACTCAGTCATAGAGAGTCTGTTGGGCGACAAATGCCAAGTAAGACACGAATGAGTTGTCTGTTTGCATAGTTTGTCCCTAATAATGTTAGTCTTGAAATGTAATAATTTATATAAAAAACACTCCAATTTAATCACAAAGTTTTACTAAATATTAAGTTCACGGGAATTATAATTTATATATATATATTCTAAACTAAAATATTCAACAAATGAAAATATTCTTAAATTATTAATATTAATTCCTATCGAAATAAATGCATTGCATTAAAATAACATAATATAAAATTGAACATAACATGATATTCAAATAACATCCGTTATAATAATAACTTTTTTAATAATTAAAGTCATTAAGTTATATCATATTTCTAACAAGTAAGTTATGCTAAATTTTCTGTTAATGTCTATATGCCTATGGGGGCAGTCGCTATTGACAGCAGTCGTACAGTTGTTGGCGTGTGAGCTGTCCGACTGCAAGGTCTGGCAATCAATGGGATCGGGCATCGCATGTATGTTCACAAATGGGAACAACTGTCACATCCGAGTGTATTGTGTCGATAAAGTACTCGAATACCAATTGACTGCCAAATGGAATACAAGGTATTGTTCCAGACATTGGTCACGAGGGTCGGTACGGTCGGCCTTAACTTCGCCCATCCAGAAGAGGCCAACAATTTCTACGATACGGTGCGCACACAACTGGCCACTGAAATTAAACGCAAGACATGGCCGGCCATCGAAACGATTAATATCGGCGGCAATATTATATTAAAGTGGATCACCAAGGCAGCTAAGGTTAGCTAACATATTGACAAATATTACTCTGTATTAATTATATGGTAATTTTAAAATTATTTATAATAGCTAACTAATGCTTAATTTGTCTTATAACGTATTAGGCATTGATGCCAACGGGAAAGCCTACGATTAGTGGGCCGACAAACTTGATACGAGTGCAGAGAATCTCGCATATAGAGGGCACAGGCCTGGCCTGCAATGCCGATACCGTACCAGTGCTACACCAATACCTGAAAGGGAAAGGCATTTGCCCGCAACAATTGGCGGCTAACAGCGGATTAATCGCAGAGTTAAAGGTTAGAGTTAATCATAGAGGAGTGGCGGGCAGTAGTAATACCGGGAGTCGCCATACCGTTCCTCTCAATGAGGAAACGCCGCCAACTAATGATTCAAATGTAGCCCTAAGACCAAAGGTGAGGGGAACGGGACGTATGTCGTGCACTCCCATAGAGACTGATATTTGTAAATTTGTTGGGTTAGTCGTCGCGGATAAGCAGTTCCGGAGTATACCGGAACTCCCGGTCCCTTCACAAGTGATAGGAAACTCTGAGTTCTATTAAGTGGTGGTCAGTCCACCCACACGGGGATGACATCTCAGTTTATAATTGTCTCGTAAGTAAATAATGTAAGTTTTGATAACTTTAATGAATGACTATTTTATATATTATATGTATTATTGTATGCATTAACAAAATTTTATGACAGGTATTGGACAGGTATTTAGACAATTGTTACATTTATTTTGTCTTTTGTTTATTATTTTGTGATTTGATGTAAAATTATGATTTAATAAATGTATTGTTTTCATTATCAATAGTTTGTAATCAATTTAATTATATATATTTTGATTGAAATGATTTTATGTATCATTTATGCAATTTTGAGGCACATAAGTGAACTCTATATTCACAAATATTGATGTTTAAAGTTTCAAAACTTTATAATTAAAATGCGAGATATTCTTGAAATTCATATTCAAATTAAATGAACTTTTTTGTTGAGAACGAGAGTTTATAATCTTTAGTCATATTTATCAATATAAAGGATTAGAAAATACAGTATTTAGTAAATACTATTTACTGAGTAAATATTAAAAACATTCAAAACTAGTTTCATGAGTCAAACAATTAATTAGTGCTTGAATATTGTATACACAAAATTATAACGTATTGTCAAATCACACCATAATTATTGAAAATTACTTTCAATTCGCTGTTAAACCGATTCTTATATTATATTAATGTAAGACATGTTACTAAACGCCAAGAATTTAGTCATCAGTTTTGCGATCATTTGTTTGTCGCATCAAATAGAGTGCAAAAAACTCAAACTTTTACTATTTGTCAGTAAATTAACATATTTTGTAAATAAAATGAATATTTATTTCTAAAATCATTTGTCAGATCTTCAGACATGGGGACAGGAGTCCGGTTCTCGGTTTTCCTACTGATCCATACAGTGATGAGAGCACCTACTGGCCGGACGGGTACCATCAACTCACTCTAGTATGTGGTTTGGGATCTATTTAGTGATAAAAATTAATTTACTTTTTAATTACTAACAGAAAGGGAAGCAAAGGATGTATTCTTTGGGTCGATATATCCGCCGACGATATGACAACTTTTTGGGTGACTCTCCCCGAGAGGTGTATATCAGGAGCTCCGGGAAGGACAGGTGTCTGGAGAGTGCGGCCCTCGTAATGGCCGGACTCTACCCACCAAAGGGTCGGTGGGCTTGGGATTCAACATTGGGTCAACACTGGCAACCCTTTCCCATACAAACGGTTGACTTTCCCAAAGACAGTGTATGTATAGTTTGGTTGAAAAAAGTATTTAATTGTTTGATATGATATGAAATTTATTTCTCACATCAGATGTTAAACCCGGACTCCGAGTGCCCGACCGCTCAGACAGAGAGCCAGAAAATAATGAAATCAAAGACCGTTCAGGACTTTTATAACAAATATAAGGTTTTACTATAAAACTCGTAATTTTTATGCAAAAATTCTTATGAATTCTGTGTTAAAATTGTGTCAGAATTTAGTGAAATTTATTGAACAAAAATCTGGTCTCAAATTCAATGATTACGGCATTGGCAGGGATTTATTCAACACACTTAGCATACAAAAAGTGCATAACTATACCCTCCCGGAGTGGGTCAACCAAACAGTGTTAGACTGTTTGCAGGACTTCCACGAAATGTCATTTATATTCGATTCGTCCACACCTTTGATCCGAAGATTGAGAGCCGGTATGCCATCAGAAACTTTGTATCAATTAATTAAGATATAATTGTCTTAATATAGGAGTACTTCTCAAAGAAATAACCAATCGTTTGAAGCAATCAATTAGTGCCGAGACATCCAAATACAAAGTGTTTCTCTACTCGACGGTAAGGAATCGCTATTAATATGAGTTATAACTTAATTAATTAGTGATTAATTTGTGGTCTAATGTATAGCACGACACACAGCTATCGGTGTTTTTGTCGGCGCTTAATATCTATAACGGAAGGTCTCCTCCGTATGGTATGTCTTAAGACATGTATTATTCATTTGAAGTGAGATTTAATGATAAGAATTGTTCCCTAATTCTGATCGTAAGGATCGACTATTTTTATTGAATTATACGAAACCAAATGCAGTGACAGTGAAAGGGCTCACAAACTGGAAGTCCATTACCTGAATGTCACGGAATCGGAACAGACTCACAGATTACCACTGAATACATGTTTGATGTCCACAAACACAACCGGATGTCAATTGAATGGATTCTTGCACTCAATTCAGAGCCTTATTCCCAACGATTGGCAAAATGAATGCAAACAAAGTTATTTGAAATCGCTTTTCAGGAATGAACTCTAAAATGATACGAAAATACTGTAGTTTGACAAAAGTTTTTATTTATTGATCACTTGTTTTGTTTGGAAATAAATTTAGATTTTAATAAAATGTAGAAAAGTTTCATAATGTATTCAAATATTGCATAAATTATTGCTTTAATTAATTTCAATTATATAATCAATGTTTAATACAATATTAGGAATATAAGGCAAATAACTTATCATAGAAATGCACATAAAGTAGACAATAGTTTTATAGACAATATGTTTTGACATCATTGTCAAAGAATTCAAAGCAAATAAGTTTTGATAACTTTTGAACCGATTTCTTGATTCTGTTAGTAATCCTAAATCTCCTCCAAATCTAAAGGTCTGAATGCGAGTTAGACAATATGTTTTGACATCATTGTCAAAGAATTCAAAGCAAATAAGTTTTGATAACTTTTGAACCGATTTCTTGATTCTGTTAGTAATCCTAAATCTCCTCCAAATCTAAAGGTCTGAATGCGAGGCAAATGCCTATCGATTCCGTCGAAGAACTTCTCATTGAATGGAAAGCCCGACACGTCTAGAGATAAACGGCTTAAACGTGTCAAACCGGACAGGGATTTGGTGGTCAGCTCACAATTGGCACCCGTATTGGTATTGTCGTGATTCTCGACCCATACGTGCAGTTCTCGTAATCTCTTGAAACCATTCATAGCCTGAAATATATGTCGCAAATCATTGATCTTTATATGAGTTGTGGTTAAACGAAATTTCTTCATATGCTTGCATTCAGTGGTCAACCGATTGAAACAATCAATGAAAGACTTCTTGATCACAATGGTCTTCGTATTCAAATTGAGATACAATTCACGCAAAGCCACCATTTGTGACAACTGTGTCAACACATCAATCGCTTGCGATTTGGTATTCCTCTCGACCAGAAGTATCGTCAGAGCCTTCAGTCTATGCTTATAGTGATCGACAAATACGGGTAAACGACGGCTAAAGTGAGCCGATTTGCACTCAAACTTGGTTTCCGTCAAACCCTTGACCAACAACTGGTTGTTTGCATTGAATAGTAGCGATATATCGCCCGTCTGTGGGAAGGCTTCCCAATGTGTGTCGAGTTTGCGGAGTTTTACCAAAGACTTCATTGATTGCGATTTAAACACATTTATCGCCGAAACTGGTATTGAAATGGCTGTCAATAGTGAGCCGTATTTACGAAGAACTCTGTCTACAATCTGGACATGAATTCTGGGATTAATCATAATGTTAATAGCTTTCAAGAGCTGCAAGTGATTGACAGCTATTTCTAGCACTGTTTCGGGAATAAATGGATGGATACAGATGTCCACACTTTGAATGAATGGCAACTTCTGGCAAATCTTGCTAAAGGCGTCGACATTGAAGACATTACCATAGATTAGATGTTGACGTATGGGAATGGACTCGGCTTTCATGAGATTAAGACTAGTTTTGTGGCGAAACACCGATCGCTTCCACTGTTTAGACAGGCATTCAAATCGGAAACTGTCTTTGAATGACAAATAAGACAATACGAGTCCACACAAGTCATCACCAAATCTGTCCAATGAGTCCTTCGGATAGCATTCCTCTGGAGTGGACTTCTGTGACTGAAAACAGATATTAATCACATATAATAACTCATTTTCAGTGATAAAACAAATTAATTTATTTTCAAACAAAACTTTTGAATGAATGACTGATTCATAAAATCAAAGATTCATTGGTTTCTCGGATTAAAATATGTGTCAAACAAATCGCTACAGAATTTCATTCAAAAAGTTCATGAAATTATAATATGACATCATATGCACTGAACTGTATATATACATACATTAATATCGAGGTGAATTTAAATGGATAATACGGAATCCGTATTAAGGATATACACTGTATATTATACAGTAATACTGTAACAGTATATTAAATTATATACCAGATTACCACTGAATACAGTAACTGTTTGATGTCCACAATCACAACCGGATGTCAATTGAATGGATTCTTGCGTATATACACTGTATATTATACAGTAATACTGTAACAGTATATTAAATTATATACCAGATTACCACTGAATACAGTAACTGTTTGATGTCCACAATCACAACCGGATGTCAATTGAATGGATTCTTGCGTTCAATTCAGAGCCATATTCCCAACGACTGGCAAAATGAATGCAAACAAAGTTATTTGAAATCCCTTTTCAGGAATGAACTCTAATTTGGTATCAAATTTGTAAAAAAAACTTTTATTTATTGATCACTTGTTTTGTTTGATAATTAACACCGGTAATAAATTTAGTTTTAAATAAATTATAACAAAATATTCAATTAATTGATTAATACATAAAACAATTTAATAACTGTTTAGAGATCCACAAAATCCAACGCATCCTTCGCTTCAATACACTTTTGAAGCCATTTCTGGCCAACTATACGAAACTTTTTGGTATTTTTGCGATTAATTTGTTTGAAATAATCACTTCTTTGTGGACTAATCACTACCACATGACTCGGATTATCATCGAAACTGTGGACAACAGTCGCGCCATAGAAGCGAACAATACTTTCCGTGTATTTGACTACAAG